TAGACTTTGCATACTGCAATTTTTTAGCGTAAACACTTTAACCGGAGAGATTTGGTGAGAGTGTGAAAAGCTGATAGGTGAAAAAAAGTACCTTAATGTGGGAGTGTGGTAGAACGTCAATAGTCGAGAAGAAGGAAATCGTTGAAAGGAACGTAAAAGATGAATCGCGAAAGATCATAGCGGTATTATGGTAAAAGCAACAAATAATTTGGGGGCGGATTTCTTGTAGTCTCAAGCATCACTTGAGGACAAGTAATGGGATAAGTTTGGGGTTGTGATCGGCCACCAACTCTATGAGTTTTCGCTCATTTATTTGGCAAAAAGTCATAGTAATCGGTAACACTTTCTTTCAAAGTATTGATGTTTTCTTTATTTCTATTACTTTTCGCAATTTTTCTTATCGCATTATTCCTTTGAGTACTTTTGTTATTATGATATTTTTTTACACGTTTTGGTAGTGTTAAATATTTTCAGGTACAAGGTTAATGACCCGCATGACTGACGCGAGAAAACGAGGTTTTCTGGAGGTCCGATGATGAATTTTTGAGATCTCAGAGGGCCTGACACGGCCAGCCGTGTCACCTGACACGACCCGTATTAGGCAAGATTCAAGGAGGAATTGATGGAGGCCACGGGCAGGGGGCTGACACAGCCCGTGTTGGCCTGAGCGTGGAAAATGTGATTTTTCAGGATTTTTGAATAAGTGACTTCCAAAGGGCATTCTGGGGATTTCAGGAGGCTGATTAATTGAATTTGTGATATTTAGTCCTGTTTGGAAGGAGAAGAGAGGAACTTTTGGATGGTGCAAAGATTTGGACGGAAAGAAAAGTTCATGCGATCAAGAATTGGAAGAGGAGCAATTTTCATGAGCATCTGCAATTGAAGATCAACTCTCATCCACTATCTTGTAATGTCTGATTTTATCTTGTACTTTGATTCTATTGTAAACAATACGAGTAGCTAAACCCCCAAATGCTAGGGGGTGTCCCTGAATTGATCGTGTAATAACATTATCCCTTTTTTAATTGTAATTTCACGGTTTTATGAAAATCATTGTTATCGATAATTATCTTTAACACTTTTCTTATCGAAAAATTGGATTTGTTTTAGGGTTGACCGTAGGTTTGGAAAAACACGGTTAATATTTTTATACGATAAATCGATAATATTATCACCTAGGAATGAGGATATACTATCATAACCGAAATGTTTTAGATACATCATATTGTTTGATATTGTTCATATATCACCAAGAAATTGGAGTAGGGAGAATACCAAAGGGTTTTCTTATAAGGAATTAAAGTCAACTATCCTTTAAAACCGGTAATGATCAAATTTAGCAGTGATTTTATAAATTAGGCCCGATGTTATTACAAGGAAAAGTTCATACACCTTTCCTTGCATGCCTTCTCATAGTTGTCCAAAGGCTTTTTATTTTATAGTTATTTTCATCTATTGTCGAATTATATTAAAAAGTAATTTTTAAAAATCTAATTGTTTTTTTTTTTCAATTTATTAAAAATAGAACTTATAATTATTACGCAGTCCGCGAGATCAATATTCGAGGAATTTGTCTCTTATTACTACATCGGTTAAAATAATACACTTGTTATTTTTTCGATCAGCGTCCACATGTATTAAAAAACTCTAAGTGGAGTACTCCGAGAATTTTGTTAAAAACTGAAATATTTTGAGATTTTTTAAAAAAAGTGAGTTAATTGGCTTAAAAATTATTTACGAGTATTCCCCTTAATTTTTCAATAGGTGGTAAATTAATTTTATTTTAAAGAATTAATTTATTTATCCCAATAAAAAGTAGAACAAGAATTGAAATGTTAAGAGCATAAGAAAATGGCGAAACGCAAGAAATCGAAATCCAATTCACAATCGGTTGGTACATCGTTGCAATCGGAGGAAGCAGAAGAAACCGAACGCAATGGGAGGAGTAGCATATCGGAGTATGAGGAACAAAGACTACGGAGAATTGCAGAAAACCAAGCGAGGTTGAAAGCTATGGGGTTACCCCAAATGGTCTCTTCCTTGAAAACCTTGCCTCAGATTAACAAGAAGAAAAAGGAAAAGGTTGAAGATGGTGATGAAGAGTATAGACCCGAAAATGAAGAAGAACGAGAAACGGAATCAGATTCTTCCAGTGAACATGACTCTGAGTTTGAAAATGCTTCTGGGTCACGGAAAAGGAAGGTTTGTAATGTACTAGTTTACGTTTTTCAATCAAAATGTTTCATTTATTTTTCTTCCGAGTGTTGTTTTTTAAGATCAATTTTTAGTTCAAAATGTTCCTTTTTTTCGATCAATTAGTTTAAAGGAAACTCATTGAGTTTCGAAGCATACATGAGGAGGTTTAGGGTTGGTTTGGAAAATCCAATTTAGGGTTGGTTTGGACACTTAAAAAACGTGTCAGATACGTGTCGTACATGTGTCGTACGCGTATCTGTGTCGGACACGGCGACACACCGTGTGAATTATGTCGGAGCTTCATAGATTAACACTTATCCGGATCTCATCAGAACTCTGTTGTTAAGCGTGTATGGACGAGAGTACTGGTAGGATGAGTCACCTCTTGAGAAGTCCTTGTATTTAGGGTTCATTCCCATTGTGCCCACAAAATTTAGTTTTCAGAAAGACCTCGGGATTAACTATATGGATAGAAGTATGGTTGTGGATAGAATATTAGGGCGAAAGTTAATCTATGTAGTTGACTCTACTTAGTGGAATAAGGCTTGATTATTGTTGTTGTTGTTATTGTTGATTACATACATTGTGTATTGTGTATGCTTATGATCTTATATGATAAGTGTCCATTCAATAAACACTTAATTGAGCAGGTTACCCAAATCTCCCATGCTTTTCAAATACAAAGTTTTGATTGTGTCATGTAAATCAAGAAATATACTATAGCAGAGGTCCCAATATGTAGTTTGTGGATAAAAAATAGGCATCAAGCTTGAACTTTAGGATACTTGAGTTAAAAATATAAGAGAAGTTAGTTAAAAAAATTAAGATATATTAAAAGAATGATAGAAAAGCACAACAAATTTTGCATTTGAAGTTATTTAAATTAAGCTTTGATCCAGGCATTGGCCTATTTATATTATTTTTATGGTAGAATGCTCTCTATTTGATTATTGTTTGGTTTGATATGAATACTAGGATGCTTGAGTTATGCACTTTTTTAATAGTTATTCTGCATAACCAGAACAGTTACGGTTTGAAAATTATGCCGACCTTTACTATTCTTTTTCTTGATACTAATTGTAGGCAAAGAACAAAAGTTTGAAGGTGAAAAGTAGATTAATTGGAAAGAAACATGGTGGTAATTTAGATTATGTTGTTGATGAAGATGAAGCTTTGATGCAGGTAGTCTTGATTTTTGGATCCTTTTGCTATGCTATGATAAGAATAATGTTGTCACTATCGAAAGCATTTTAATTTCACCATATGTTATCTATGGACAGGCAATTGCTCTTTCTCTGCAAAGTTCTGCAGAACCTTCGGTGTGCTCTGACAAGAATGTAGAGAACATATGCAAAGCCGAGAAGAAGGAAAACATTCACGTTAAAGAAGATAAGGAACGGAAGAACAAAAAACCGGTTTGTATTGAGTTTGCTATTTACACATTGGTCTTTCATTCTTTGCAATGTTTAGTTTGTGTACAAAGTCTTTTTTGTAATGTTTGAGTTTGTCAACAGTTTACAAGTCGGCTGCAAATGACTGAGGATGAACTCATCGTACACTTCTTCCAGCTTGATGGTAATTTTATAATTTCTGTTATGCTACTTTTTGTTCGTTGGGGGCAATTGTTTGTCAATTCGCTAGCATTTTTCGAAACCACTTGCAAGGTAGTCCCAAAATGCATGCAAGATTATCATACTTGCCGACCGATGATGAACTTATCGGAATTAGAAATTCGATAGCTTTTTTCTCTCTTTTCCCTCCCCATGTTTTAAACTAATGAAGAGTGTATAGGTTATTGACAAGGCTATTTGTGATATGCAGAATCAGGAAAAGGAACCGTAACAAAAAGGGATTTAGAAAGAGCAGCTATAACTCATGATTTTGAATGGACAGACAACGAGTTGGTTGATATGATTCGCTGCTTTGATAGTGACGGCGATGGAAGGGTAAGTATTATTAGCTACTTTTTCAATGATTTTGTTTTTGACCGGAGAACACAGAGAACACTTAAAATCATTAGACACCGTGCACGATACCAACAATGATAATAATTTGAGAAAAAAGAAGTGATTATATGTAGTCACAAGTGTTAACATTGCGATGGTATCAGACATTGGCATATGTGTCCGACAAGTTTTCAATCTGAAGTGTTAATTCTTCTAACCCTGTAAGATGCATAACCTGCATTATTATTGTTAACTAATTAAGTATAATGGGCTTTGTTGCAGCTAAGTCTAGATGATTTTCGCAAGATTGTTGTTCGATGCAACATGATAAAAGACTCACAAAATTCTTGACAAGGTAGGATAACCCATTACTCGCTAATACCTATCCGAATCCGCCTCAAATTTGACAAGAAAAATTCGTTTTGAATGAATTCATCTCGTATGTGTATATAAAATTTGTAATATTATGAATATAAATAAATTATTTATACATTGAGGTAGTAAAAATTGCATTAAAATTATCTAAGTCAGACTTCTACCGTTTAATAGTAATCGCAACGACCATCGCCATGCATGTCTCATCTCATCGCGAGATCATCAACATGTCTATTTTATATGACACTTATTGTTGGCCTCACTCTTGAAAAGCTCCTATGCATGACAAGATTCAATCGATCAATAATTTTTCCAAAAAACTATTGGTAATAAAATCTACACTATGGCGCAATTGTTAGCTTCTACACCAATTACTTAACATTTTTTAACAATTTTCACAAAGAAAATGATAACAAATTAGGATCATTTGACAACAATGAAGATCACCTTAAGTATTATTAAACAAAATTTAGAGAATAAATTTCATACCAGTTCTTGCTCAAGCCTTTTATTTTGCTCAAGAGCATTATCCCTCTCCTTAGTTAATTTTGAAATAACTGCATTTGTCTGAAACACAATTCAAAAGTTCACTTTTAAGGCATATATTACAGTTCACTTTGCACACCTTTAAAAACACGATTCTTTTAAGATCAAAAATATATAATATTGTAAGTGTATTATGATCGTAATTGATAACAATGTAATAGTGACTAATCAACTTGTCAATAACCAATTTTAAAAAATGAAATGAAAATAAACCTGATCAGAAAAGATAGATGAGCGAGAAGAAAAATATTCGTCAGATTCTTCTTGAATTGTGAATGATGGTTGAGAAGGTTCAACATAAATAACACTTAGTTTGCACTCTTCAACCTTAGAGCCTGGCTTTTTATCAAACTACATAGAGAAAATAAATTATACAATATATGTCATGTCACATATACAACAATATTGTATTTCTTTAATCTTTATATGTAAATTTTTGTTTACAAAGTTACCATTTCTGAAGTGATATCTTTTCTGGTTGTCCCCATCTTTGCAACTACGTTTTGAATTAGAAATTTATCTTCGCATTGCATGTCAGAAGGTGTTTCCTTTTGAGCTTGCATGATAACTTCACAGTGAAAATGCAAATTTGTTTGAATTTTTATATAAGTAACTACTTATAATTAAGAGTTTAATTGACTGTATAAAAATATTTTATATTATTATCTAATAAAAATATATCATTTTTTAATGTTATATAATTATTTTAAAATTTTTAATATAATTTGACGAGATGTATGATCGTTATTAGTTGACAGTATAAATTATTTTTACAATATCGATATATCACCTTTTTTTTTTTTTTTTTCTATAATCAAACACATAAAACTTTTTAGAAGTAACTAGGGTTAAATTATTTATGTTAAATTATAGTAGCAAATAGGAGTTAAATTAGTGTTATTATCCCATGACAAACTATTTGTTGAATGTTGTAATCTTAAGATTAATCGAAGCCTTCTCTAATAAACATTTTAGTTTGTTAATTTGGCAGTTAGGGATGGCAAACAAACCCGGCCCCGCCCCGAAATTAACGGGGGAAATCCGATTTAATTGGGTGCGGGTGCGGGTGCGGGTGAAACCCGGTTCTTAACTACGGGTGCGGGTGCGGGTAGACACTAAGACCCGCCCGCACCCGCCCCCCGCTCCGCCCCAAATAATATATTTAATTTTGATTTCCTTATTTTATTTATTTTAATATTTATTTATTAATTATATTTTTAATTAAGTTATTAATATTCTTATTGCAATTAAAATAATAAAATTAATCAAGTTAATATTCATTTATTAATTAAAATTTTAATTAAATAATTATTTAATTTATTAAAATAATTAATTTTTTAATTAAATTACTAATTTTATTATAATTAAAAAAAATAATAATTTTTTGCGGGTGGGGGCGGGGCGGGTGCGGGTGCACCCGTTTTCTACTGGGGGCGGGTCTGGGTGGTAAATTTTCACCCCCGATTAGATTTGGGGGCGGGGGTGGGTCTGTTACATGAAGGCGGGTGCGGGTATAGTTAAACCCGCCCCCGACCCGCCCCGTTGCCATCCCTATTGGCAGTTAAGAGTTAATTATATTTAGAAACTTGGAAAATAGGTTGCAAACTCTGGTGGATTAATTGAAGATCACCAACAACATCGCATTCAAGTCGAAGATAGACAACAAGTAAATCATCAATATAGCCAAAAATCCCATTTGTGATAAGGTGAATAAATATAAGTTTATAGTGAAGTATTATCCTATTTAGGGGGTGTCAGCGATGCGATTTAAGCGGTTTTGACACTAAAAATTATCCGAACGGCAAGAGAAAAAATATGAGGTTTGATTTGGTTCGGTTGTCTTTTAGAAATAAAACCAAACCAAATTAAACCAATTCAATGTAATTTGGTTTGGTTCCGTTGGTTCGGTATTTTACAAGATTTTTATTGAGCCATACATACACCTATAGAGAACAACATAACTTTGTGTTTAATCATTCATACATTACCAAATAATAACAAAACTCATCATATTTAGATAAAAACTTCTCATTCAATAGTCAAAAATAAGATTAGACGAAAGTGAAATTAAAAATATAAAATAACAGGATAAAAGAATATCAAAAATATTATAATAAAAAGAAAAAATAAAGGACATGAGAGATTATAGAAGATAAAAATGAAAGAATATAAGAGATACAAGATTAGACAAGAAATGTGCGATAAAAACGTAATTAGAAGAGAAAACAATAACATAAAAATAAAAATATGAAAAAGAAAGAATATAAGAGAAGAGAGATTAGAGTATAAGAGGGGAGACATACATGGAAAAGAAGAAAAAATGTGCGATACTATTAGGAGAGATTTAAAAAGGTTGAAACTAAAACCCTAAACGTGAGTAAAAGAATATTTGTAAGGTTAAGGCATAATATGTTTGAATTTTGGGTTGGATGTGTGATAAGTGAAGTTTGGGTTGTAACATAATGCGGTTTGGTTTGGTTTAGTTCGGTTTGCAAAATGAAACCGCAAACCAAACCAAACCGCGTAGTTTCGTTAAAAAATGACTCAAACACATCCGAAACAAATGCGATTTTTTGCAATTTCAATTTAATTTGATTTAGTTTACGATTTTTTATTGAGTTGGTTAGATTTTAAATACCTCTAATCCCACTTAAAATCAGTTGTCAAACTTGTTCACTCAAGTTGTCAAAATAAACTAATTTGTAAAGGTTAAGAGAGATGTTGAAATTATTACTTTTAGTTAGCTTAGGATTAAGAATGAGTGTTAAATATTTTGATACTAGGACTAATAGAGAGAGAGAGACCTATAACATCACAAGTAGATCTTGGCAACACAACTCCATGATTAGGCTTGACACAATACCTCTTTGGATTTGTAGTCTTAACCTGCAACATCTCCATTAATTTGACTTCTCTTCAAAATTTCAACTAGCATAAAATTGAAGAAAATTTGAGTGATAAAAAAAGAGAGTAAAATAATAAGAACCTTGAAAGCCACATAATAAGAAACCAAACACAAAGCAAAGAGCCCAAAATGTTGAATATTAGAGGCTTACAAGGAAATTGCAGTTCTTGAGGATGTACCTAGTGATAGAAAACATCTTATTCAGTAAATGTTTCACAACCCCATTAAAATGGAGAAACAAATTTGAAATAGAAAAACATAGGAAAAAAAGACAAAATATATGTGATTAATGAATATAAAATATCTCACCTCAAATAAAGTATCAAGTTGTTCAACATGCTCATTCGAAACATTTGAATCTTTATCGGAACCTTCTCTAATTGAAAATCGTGATTGAGGAGGAGCAACATAGACAACCCTCAATTTACACTCCTTAATCTCGTAGCCAGATTCTTTATCGAACTACATACAATGAGAAAATAACGATTAAACTATCTATGATATTTTTATATATAAAAGGTGGTTAGTTAAAATAATGAGAAAAAGATTGAATAACACAACATATATTTTATTTATTAGTGTATATCTTATTTTTCAAGAGTCATTTTTGAAGGAGTGCAAAGAATGCTAACGCACAAGACATAAAACTTGACACATTTAAACTATGACTAAAAATTGTTTTATAAAATATTTTTCATAACTAAACCATAATAAATAGGGGTCTTTTTTATTTTTTCACAATTAAACTGTGATTAACGTACATAAAATATCTAAAATTTTAAGATAATTCTATACATAAGTGATTCATAATCTCAATAAAAATAATTTATTTATGATCACCATTTTCGAAGTGATATCTTTCGTGATTGCTCCATTTTTGGAGTGATATGTTTTGTATTTCGCAGATATGCTTTGAAAAAGAAACTTATCCAAGCATTGCATGTTAGGAGGTGCCTCATTTTGGGCTTGCATTATAACTACAAAATAAAAATGTAAATATGAGTAAAAAATTATTAATTAAAATTATTAATTGAAATTATTAATTGAAATTATTAATTGAAAGTATTCTTCTTCTATATCTTTGTGCTGCAATAAAAGAGAATGAAAAAAAAGGTGGAGAAAAACCACTAATATCAAAGTTGATTTGGGTAACACAACTCCACCGTTAGGCTTAACACAATAATTCTTTTGATTTGTAGCCTTAACCTACAAATTGAATTTTACTCCAAGTTAAATTTACAACTTTCCATGTAATATACATATTTTTATTATGTATATATTTTAACATAACTAAATTTTAACGAGTATCTCATTTAATATGAGTATCATTAATATTTTAAGGACACTAAATTCCTCCCAAAATAAAAGAAATTGAGTCTTGTGATACTCTCTCTTAAGCGAGATTTATTGTGATTGTCTATCCATTATTATCTATATCTATAATCTATAACATATATAAAGGTAAAATATGGTGTTTTTGTATAGTCTATTTTTATTTCAATTATATCTTTTTATTTTTTATTTTAGAATTCAACTTCTATTTTACTATCTTCTCTTTTATTAACTGTTATATGGTAGTTTGCACAACTATTTTATTTAAATTTTTTAATATAAAATTTAATTTTAAATAAAAAATAAACACACAAAAAATACCGTTTATATTTTTAAACGCCTGAATATTAAAAAAGCATATAGACGGACGCCTGAAAATTAAAAAATACCGTTTATTTGGTGTAACTTTTTTTCTTTCAAATATATCCTTTTTAGTTTTTATTTTAAATTTTAATTTCTCTTTCTAACAAATTTTATGTGACCGTTTATTATCTTCTCTTTCTAATAAATGGTGGTCATTTTCCAGTTTATTATCTTTTATACTATTATTTACTACTACTATTATTTTATAAATAATAAATAATAAAATAAAAATAATAATACAATTTATATTTTATGCGCGTAAGTATTATAAAAAGCGGGCAAACAGACACATAAGTGTCAGTCTAGACGCTAATATCCTGAAAAGAAATATGACCTCATAAACTTCTCACAAACAAAGGAACCTAGTCTTGCGACAATCTTCTCTAAGAGAGACCGGCTTCGATCGGTTAAGCATCGACCCATTTTGAAAATAAATACGATCACATTAAACTTCTCCCAAAACAAAAGGACAAAGTCTTGACACTTTCTCATCTAAGAGGGATCAACTATGATTATCAATTTGTTCAAATTTTTATACTCTCGATTTTATATTATAAAAACAAAATTTATTTTTTAAATATATTAAATAATTAATGTATCTAATCTATATATAAATCAGATACATTAATTATTTAATATATTTAAAAAATAAAATTTATTTATAATATAAATCGGATGAAGTATTTGAAAAAAAGTCAACAAATGATTGGTGCCCAAGTTTTTCACATTATCAAAATCAACAGATTATTTCTTATGTATAATCCATCTCTATCAACAATGACAAAATGGTTAGAGTGCACATTTTCTATATTTGTTGTGTGACTTTTAAAGTGTTACTTGTGACAGGAATATTTGCACATGGTGTTATGTAATAATTCGAGAGTTTATGAAACGAAAAAAGAAAACACAAACTAATTTATAAATTCAAAGAAAGTGATAGAAAAATGAAAAAATAAATAATAATAATAATGAGAAGAACCTTAAAAGCTACACAATTATCTGACTTGTTAGACAACTGCAAATCGCAAGATATCTGCTTCTTCAACTCAACTGTATATCACAAAATCCAAGAAATTGAAAAATAACCAAATTAGAACAAGTACATGAATCAAAAACCAAACTCATAAATTGAAAAGAAAATATATTTTTAAAATTTTTGAATTGAAGAAGCATAATTACATGGAAATTGCAGCTCTTGAGGATGAATCTGGAGATGGAAACTATCATCTTGATTATTCATTTTTCCATAACCACAATCCATTGAAGAAGCATAACGACGTGGAATAACCAACCGCAACAATTTTGAAGCCGAGGATGAAGCAGAAGAAACCGTTTGTCCCATTTTTTCACAAACTGTTGGTTTTTTAAATTCGATGTGTTTTATGTCAAGAGAAAATAGTAGCTTGTGGAACTCTTAGTTTTGGATCATTGACCATATAAACATGTGAATGATGTAATGAGACTAGGGACAGTTTTCAGAGAATATAACAAGAATATATAACATGTGAGTAATATAATTTGTGAATTGACATTTATTAGTAAATGATATTAGGTTACTTCTTCTGCAAGTTTCATATCTTTTGAGTAACATAAATTCCAACTAAGCATTTCATGTTATATATATATATATATATATATATATATATATATATATATATATATATATATATATATATATAATATATATATATATATATATATATATATATATATATATATATATATATATATATATATATATATATATATATATATATATATATATATATATATATATATATATATATATATATATATATATATATATATATATATATATATATATTGAGTCTACCTCAGGGAAGAATCATATTGACCATCTTCGACAATCTTTCAAAAGGATGAGAAAGCATGGTCTAAAAATGAATCCTCTCAAATGTGCTTTCTGTGTGCAGGCGAGAGATTTCTTAGGCTTTGTGGTCCACAAAAAGGGATTTGAAATAGACGAGAATAAGACCAAGGACATAATAGAGGCGAAAACGCCATCAATAAAGAAGGAATTACAGTCACTGCTGGGAAAGATTAACTTGAGGAGATTCATATTGAACCTCAGCGGAAAGACTCAAGCCTTCTCACATCTGCTTCGACTCAACAAGGAAGGGTTCGAATGGGGGAAACCTCAGCAAGAAGCATTCGAAAAAATCAAAGATTACTTGAGTCATCCTCCAATTCTGTCACCACCTTGTAGGAATAAGAGCATGAGGTTATATGTATCTGCATCAGATAAAACCTTAGGGAGCATGTTGGCTCAAGAGGATGAAAATTGCGTCGAAAGAGCCACTTACTACCTTAGTAGAGCTTTAAATGATGCAGAAACTAAGTATAGCATAGTTGAAAAATTGTGTTTATGCTTGTATTTCTCTTGTACAAAGTTGAAGCATTATATAAAACCAGTTGATGTTTATGTTTTGTCCCATTTCAATATCATTAAACATATGTTGTCCAAACCAATTTTGCATAGTCGAATTGGTAAATGGGCGTTAGCTTTGACTGAATATTCCTTAACATATATGCCTTTAAAGGCTGTTAAAGGATAAATGGTAGTAGACTTTATAGTCGACCACTCAATAAATGAAAATAATATAACCTATCTGGAACTCGAGCCTTAGAAATTATATTTCGACGGCTCTAGTCATAAAAATGGAACTTGTGTAGGAGTGTTGATCATTTCTCCCAACAAAATTCCAACAAGATTCAAGTATAAAGTTGAAGGTCTCTGTTCGAATAACGAGGCTTTAATAGTCGGACATGAGATATTGTTGGAATTGGGGGAAACTCGAGTTGAAATATTGGGAGACTCAGAGTTAGTCATAAAACAAATTACAAAAGAGTACAAATGCATTAAAGAAAATCTTATTATGTACTTTGTAATAGCCAGTCGGTTACTGAAAAGGTTTGAAATGGTTAGTTTTCGACACATAAATCGATTGAAGAATCAAGTGGCTAATGATTTGTCCCATATTGCTTCAGGGTATAAAATCTCGAAAGAAAAATTATAAGATGCAGTCGAAGTCAGAGGAAGAGTTGTGTCAACCAGATTGTCCCCATCAGATTTGAAAAAGACAAAGGTATGCAGTCGAAGTCAGAGGAAGAGTTGTGTCAACCAGATTGTCCCCATCAGATTTGAAAAAGACAAAGGTAGAGTGCGTTGATAAAAAGAATTTTAAAATCCTCGAAATAAATAGCTTGATGGATGGAGATTGGAGGAAACCAATAGTGGACTATCTGCAAAATTCGATGACATTCACAAACCAAAAAATCAGGTATCCTGCTTTAAGTTATCTTCTTTTGGGGATGAGTTGTTTAAAAAGACTCCTAAGAGAGTTTTACTTAAGTGCCTTAGTGAATCAGAGGCATATTTAGCCCTTTCGGCTGTCCATAGTGGGGCATGTGGGGCACACCAAGTAGGACATAAGATGGAATGGTTGTTGTTTCGACAAGGCATGTATTGGCCCACCATATTAAAAGACTGTATCGAATTCGCTAAAGGGTGCCAAAAGTGCAAAGTACACGCAGGTATACAACATGTTCCGGCAAGTGAGTTACATTCCATAGTTAAACCATGACCCTTTAGAGGCTGGGATTTGGATTTGGTTGGAGAAATTTGACCAGCGCCATCCAAAAATCAATGGTACATTTTGGTAGGTATTGACTATTTTACAAAATGGATCGAAGCTATACCTTTGCTAAATGTCGACCAAGAAGAAGTAATCAAATTCATCGAAAAACATATTATTTATAGATTTGGAATCCCAGAAGCCATTACAACGTGTCACACCCCAAATTTTGACCCCTATATTCCATTACCATTCTAGTAGCATAAAACATTGTTTCCTAACCCTAACCTTGTTGCAAGTTTTGTTGTTGTTTGATTCATCTGAATTAGGGTTTTGCATCTGTGGAATCAAGAGGATTATTGTTTGATTAGTCAATGTTTTGGATTGGTCATCATCAAATCAAGTTTCCATACATTCAAATAGCTTATACTCAACAAAAATCAAGTGCTAATTGATCTCATTGCAAGTCAATTGAAGCCTAATTCCATCTGGCCCCAAATTAGGGTTTTCATCAAGAAAAGTCAATTGTGCCTTTGACTTTTGATCTGGGCATGCTCCTAAGCCTTGGGACATGATTTAACATGTTAATACACATCCTTGAAGCTTAATCATGATGTTTGAGAAGTCTGAAGTGGCAATTTCATTGAAGAT